TGGCGCTACCCCTGCTGTGAGTCTTGTAAGCAGCGCACGTGTCCGAGGGCACAGAAGGGGAGCATGGGGCAGCAGATGTTTGAAGTTTGTAGGGTTGCCTGAATTGTTTGGGCGAGTTTGGAACCGGCTTGCATTATGTAAAGGGAGCAGAGACTAAAGTTCTCTACGGATTCCCTGTAGCTGTATTTTGAATTGCGTATCAAAGAGGGAATTGTGAGCTCTGAACGTTTAGGTCCATATAACTACGAATTTGCAAAAATTGCGTGTTGATAATATCGATGACGCGTTAACGCAAGATAATGATGTAATCCAAAACCAGACTCATCTTGTTTATCAACAATTCGGTAAAAGCAATAGAAACGTAATTCAGTGCGGAGCGAAATTAGTGTTTTTGCGAATTTTCGATCGCATTTGAATAATTAATTGATTTTCATTGCTGTGGAGGAAACAACCATTATCTAAATGTACCTACACTATTGGTTAGTTTTGAAGAAACTACTTAAATTTTCCTCAATTAAAATGGCTTTAAACTGAATAAACGTTAACTAATTTTTTTTTTGGGATAATGTAGAGCCACATTGGGTATCTTACACTCGCATATATCTTAATGCGTGTACAATCGCCAGCATATCAACATATCAAAAGACGCAGGTAAAGTTCTTCTGAAAGATATCTCTCACAATTTATAGTTACATTGAGCTGCTAGTAGTTAATTGTAACTACTTTTTACGTATTGTGGGTAATTATCATTTAATTCAGCTTAACCTGTGGCTTAACGGACATTACTGATGTCCATTAGCAATTTGCATGTGCAGATGCCAGATAGTAAGTAGGTAGGCGAGGATAGTCAGACAATCAATTAAATTAAGGTAACGTGACATGAACACAGAACTAATAACTAATAGTCCCAGGTATTTGATACAAAAAACGCAACAGTGCACAGTGGTGTGAATTTCCAATCAGTCAAAAAGACGAAAAAGGACATTGGTTACATAAGTGCGATCAACATTCAGTTCGCGTTTCCACCTGGATGGATGTCGAGATAAAGACGCGTCCACGTGACAGGCGAAATTCCACGCGAGCGAAACCGCGTGCAGCTGCTAGCTTTTTATTGCAACCTAAATCGAAGAATGCGTCTGTGTTCGCTTCAGCGGGTGACCCACAATGCCGAAATGGTGGTTTGTCACTTTTGTCAGACAGAGAGTCTCAAGTGCTGTCGACTGCTCGCCGATCGTTCGGGGTCACATTGGCTAAATAATCGGGCGGTGTTTATCGTGCTTATCACCGCGCTTGCGCCCGCGTCTGCCCGCGCTCGCATTCCAAATATTTCGACCGCGAAGTCTGCGAACCATGCTCGCCTCCCATCCGTATAGCGGATTTTTTGCGAGCAACCGGTGTACACCCGCACTTATTACATAGCAATTTTATGTACCTACAGATGATGGAGTCATTGGCAGTGCCGATCTCAGTCAAATACAATACAATAGACGACTTACATTCGCAGTTCGTCCACTTATTATAACTATGTAGCTATTATGTAGGTAGGTAGGTACCTGGTGTTTATAAGAATTGTGCATTGTGCATGCGTATCGTATCAACAGTAAGTACTTGTACATTATTAATTAAACAAATGACTTTTTATTTAATAAGTACCTTTGATAGTATGTAAGTCCCATAATAAAATAAATATAAGTTACAAGAATCAAAACAACTTACTGTATTGGGTTTCCCACGATGATACACACAACTGTACAGCAAATTATAAATATTTTCACAGCTAATAAGTTTCCAACAAATACAAAATCGTAGATCTAGTCCAAACCAATTGTCCAAGTTACTGAAACTTCATAACAATCTCAAAACCGGCGAATAACAAAAATCAATAGTTAACAAGATCGCAATAACACCGTTTACGATGGTTGTAACAACACGACTGGCAGCTGTACGTACTGCGGTGCGAAAAAACGTACCGACTTCTACCGTTTATTATCCATTGTCCGTCAAATACACTGTTTTATTTGTTGTTATTTCATAAAATCCAACTATCGCGCCACGACTCTGTTGACGAAATAGTCGCGTTTGACATTTGAGCCGAGCCCACAGCGATTGGAATCCGCGGAATGTCAAATATTTTCAGTAGCTCCATCTATGTGAGGGAATGTGAAGCGAGCGAGAGGCGGCACACTGGAGCGTGGCACGTAGCCTTCTACGGCTTTAATTTGGTTTTATACCTATTTTTATTTATGATTTTTTTTAAATTGTTTTTATTTGAGTAAATAAGCGAAATGAATAGTAATATTTAATGATAAAGCAGATAAAGTATGAAATAAGAAAGTGCGGCGCGCGTTCGCGAATTCATTGGAATGCGTCCAGTTATGGCCGCCTCCGACGTCACCGCGCAGGCGCGATGGTTGGTTGTCTGGTAGGGTTATCGACACACGGCGGGTAGGGTCAGCACAACCTGCGCATGTAGCGTGACAGAATCTGCTCCGCTTCGTAACTTGCATTATTTAAATGCGGTGCCCAAATTCAATTAGAAATAACTCGGGAGCAAAGGTCGAGGGAAACTTCTTGCTTTAAGTACTACGAAATGTAACTTATGAATTAATTATGTCGTACGAAACAAAAAAAGGTTTCTTATTTGTTCTACGAACCTACAAAATTACAACAACAAAATAACTTAAATTATGTCGAGGCCTTTTCCTCCTAAGCACAACCTTATATTATTGACAATCAAGATAGCTACGCGCAGGTACGACCCTGTTTTTACGAAAAAAAAACATTAAAAAATATTTTCTGCAACAAAGACACACATCGTACATAGCCTACCCTGAATACCCCTCGGCCTCAATGCTTAAATATGCAGCAAAACAAATTGTAAAAAATAAGTACAAAGTTTTATAGAATCAATATTTACGAACCGCTGCCGCCATCTGACAAAGATTCGGAGTACTAAAAAGTCCCCTTACTTGCTGTGACGAAGCTCATCACTTGCTTTTTTACGAATAAAAATGCCCATGTTTTTGGGATGTCGAAACACTGTGCGTGCTGTGTATTTGATCGTAGAGCAAATAAACAAAATAACAATTTATCTGAATCTTTAATCTATCACAAAGATATTATATTCAATGAAAATTATAAACTAACTGACTCTACTACCCAAAAAAACCTCTTCGTGAATGGAATGGAATCTTTACGTTATGTCAAAGTAATTAAAATTAATTACAGAAATGAAACTAGCATATTTATTGACACATTCTTTATTTTATTCTAACACAACATTCTTAAATCTCGGAAATAAATAAATGCATTGTCAACGAAATTTAAGCGACATACACTTTAATAACGAACATCCATTTCACTATTATAAGGCTAATTAATTTCTTGCAATTTCTTGCTAAGCCTAATTTGGTGATTTTTTTCAGTGTAATAAATAGCTCATCGGATAATTCGTGGTTAGCATTTTACGTATATTTTTCTACAATTTCAGGAATGTGGCCACTGTGTAATTTAAAAAAATATAAAAACGATAGAGACGCGAAGTGAATGACCGTTTTTTAGACATTTTTAGCAATTAATTTGAGTTATTAAAAACGCGCCGTCATTTTTTTCAATTATGTAGAGTCATGCTGATGAGCGCTATAAGCGCCTAGTATATTAATTGCGGCAAATTAACTACGCGTCTTGTGCGAATTCAACAAGTACTGTACAAAATCTGCCCACAATTTTTTCGTAAGCGTAGCAATTGTTTTTCAGTCGGTATTCATGATGAAATTAGGTAAAGTATCATAAATGTTAAAGGAGACCTCTCTTTGTATAAGAACAATGTGCAGTATTTAGTGGGGTCAAGCAGTTAAGTCTCAGGACTTAAATTATTCAAATAAAATGGCACACACATTTCGTGATCTTACTTTTAGACAATGTAATTAAAATTTTACTGCGTGTTTTTCGAGTAAACCCGAAACTCTAGGAGATATCTTTTCCAGAGACGGCAATTCAAGTTTTTGTAACATATCCGTGAGTTTAAAAATAAATACTACAACATTCAATTTATTTCACGAAAGTAAATTGCACAGTGGTTCACAATACCAGAACCAGAAAAAATACATTCAAAACATTTTATAATAAACTTGGGATAATCATACAGTGTCTTTTATTTTATCATTACTTACTAAAATATCCATTTAGATATAAACATCTCACTTGGGAATCGTTTCGCAGGTATCTCTAATATCTATCACAATAATATTAGGTAATAATTTGGTTCCATGTTTCGTAAGTGATTTATATTATATATTTTTAAATAGATAAAATTAAACGACTGATAAGGGTGGAATATGCTAGACAAAGTACTTTCTTTTTCACTAGTGTGTGTATTCTTAAACATATCTATGTAGAGGAACATTTGGTGCTTTTTATCTTCAATCGAATCGAAGGCTATCGTACGCCTATCTATTATTCTATTTTGTGATTGGTGCTTTAAGTTATTATGCCGATTTTATTTCATATCTGTCTTTTTCGGTCCTTCAGAAAGTCTTTCTCATAATACCGTTACCAAATCTTGCAGAGTCTTGAAAATAAGTTTGAAAGAAATCATAACTTTCACATTAGTGTTGTTCATCATCATGGGGATGTTGCCTGGGTCAAAAAGCAAGAGTTTTAATTAGTCCGTCAGTTAACTTATCAAAAAATACACTACACGTATTTTTCACTTTTTCAAACTAAAGAAAATTTAAAGAGATAAAGCGCCCCAAAGTTCTTAAGAAGAGGCCCGTGACGTCAACGCTTGCTTAAAAATGCCGCACGTTGTGACGTCTTGCGCAACTTCAACGCACCATAACTATGTAATTATTTGTTAGATTGACAAATAAAAATATATTTGTCCAATATTTTTTGATATTAAACATTACGGACTAAAAAAATTTTTTTAGGCAACTAGCCTTAAACTGTTTCATTTTGTATTTCTTCATTCTTTATATTAAACTCTACTTGTGTTCGTTATTTAACTCTAAAACTATTCCACCCAGAAATAATTTTAATACACATTTGTTACAACTAAAACTAATTTTAATTTCAAATAAAGTCAAGCTTGAAACCTAGACATTGCAACCTACGAACAATGGTTACCTATTATATTATTCAGTATGTACCCACTTTAGGTGAGTAGGACTCACAAAAGATGCTGTGCATATCCACGAAAATATCTTTTGTCAATAACAGCTAATTTATGCAGCTGTTAAATACATATTTCATATGTTTATACTTGTGCCTGCAATCTTAAATTATTAAAAAAAGAGATAAAAAATACCTATAAGTATTATTTAATTGTTGTTATTACTTAGATTGTAGGTACTTATATTGTTGGAATGTTCGTCTAATTATCAAGCAAACTTTTTTCTATCGGGTAAAAAGGAATAATTATGATAAAATTAGATGGCAAATCATAAAGTTAAAATACATTTTATGTTAACTCATTAATTAGTGAAATAGATAAATAGTAAATAGGTACATAATAAATTCGTCATCTTGCAACAGCTTGCAGATTATTATTTTGGAGGGAGACTCTTAACTTAATTAATACTCGAATACAAATATTTAAATCAGTCAAAAGTAAATGCAAGTTATCACAATAATTTCAGTTAAATAATACAATGTAGTTATTATACATTAATATGGGGAATAGATAAATGACCAAATTTCGAGAAGCGGTATAGCCTTATTTTAAAAATAAGATCACCGTCTGGCCATGTAGCATATGCATAAAGTGATTTATTAAACAAAATTAAGATTGCAGGCACCTCTACTCCATTAACTCCATAGGATCATAAGGTGACATCCAATATCCATATTAACTAGATCCCTATCTACAGTTACTTAGAATAACGCCTTACCTACATGCTGTTATCTTACTTTAAAGTGTACTGTGTATAATAATATTTTATAAATATTATGCAATAATACCTTCATAATCATACTTAAAACTTCAAGGGGACGGTATAATGCATTAACTAAATACGGTTATATAATTTTGATTCAGATGTAGAGCAGAAGTAGACGAAAATATAAAATTAATTGCACATAAAGTCACTAAGGCCCGTATCATGAAACAATTCTCAAGTATGAAAGCTTGAGTTTGGATCGAATTTAAGCTTTGTTTTATAATACGAGCGCAGATATAGGAAAATAGGTTATAGTTATGTACCATCTCTATCTACAATTTTAAGTATGTAACTAATCGTGACGAATCTCGTAGCTAAGTAACTGTGTTGTCATAAAATATGAATTTCAAAGAATAATAGTTAAGTACGCTAGATACACCTTGCTAAGTAAATAAAATAATTTTAAGACGATACTCTACCTATTAATAATAAGGTTGTATGATGCTGATTTTAAATAGGTACATTAATAACCTGCACAAGTTTCTAAAGTAACCTAAGTATGCTTCATTAGGTACTTTATCCGGGATTCTTCTAAGAAACNTAAGAAATCTGTAAGATTTTCGCCTGCATCAATATAGGCAATTCTTTGCCTTTAAAATACCAAGCAAGCTTTTCGCTGGCATTTAGGTATATCGAGTCGAACTCAACTACCCAGAGTACAAACCCCTAGATAGACATTAGGCGAATTTAAGGGTTCCATACCACAACAATAAAAAATATTTTATATCGATGAAACTATAACCATACTGCTCAAAAGATGGCTCTATGATGGTAGAAGGAGGAAGAATGAAGCGAAGTATGTACGGAACCCTTAGTCCGGGAGTTCGATTCGCACTTGACCGTTTTTCCTTATAAGTTTAACATTTTTATGGAACCATAATAGCTTTAAATTTTGCCGAACTGGCATAGCATCCCTGTGACTTGTAGCGATCTTATTTAAGTACACAATATTCTTGTATTTTTTCAAAAATTTCATATACACTGCTTTCATTATTCTTACAATAAAATCTTAGACAAAGTCGACAACAACGATGTAAAGTTTCGGTACAATCTTTATCAATATTTTTCACATGAGTGCTTGTCTACGTTAAAATGGCACGGTTGTCTATTTTTTAATTAGGTACACGATGTCGTTAATATTCATATTATTTATTTTAGATTAGGTCAAATATAAAGGGAAGTATAAAATATCGACAATAAGTTTCAATTTTAGGACATAGGTACATAAGTAGGAATATTTTTTATTTCTGAATTAAGATAAAAGCTATTGAAGTATTAAATAATAATCCTTGCACAAATATCGATAAAACACCTTAGATTACTGCTTCTGTTAAAAATTATGAATGCAGTAACAATAATTTTAATTTCTTCAAAGCCTAAAAGGGCTCTAGAACGAATATAGGGGCATAATATATTTATAGGTAACTAGTTTCTATTTAATATTAATAAAATAATGTATTTATTACCGATTCGACAAGATAGGTTAGACAACCAAGTTGTGGTTATTTATACATAATCGATTCGAAAAGATAGGTTATACAACCAAATTGTGGTGGTTATTTATACATAATAATTATTTTTCATGTGACGAACTATGCAATCAAATAAAATAAATATTTTCTCAAGCTATCTGGGATTAGATCCTATTCTATGCTAAATATAAAGGCTACGGGGTATTTTATATGTTTTCCTAGCTTAACGTATTCGTTCCTCTTCCTGATAAATAAGTAAAAAAAATACGAACAAAAATATATGCTGCCTTCCTTTAAAATTATAATAATAATATAATTTATAGTATAAGACGAATATATATTTCCAAAAACTTTAATGCAACATAAATAGATCTCTCCGAAAACTCTTCAAAATTCGTTCAATAACGCTTAACTAATTACACTATAATTTTATATCACAAATTAATAACAGAATGATATGTTGCAAATTTTACATATATTATACGATAAATTATACATGTTATATGTATAATAAATATTATAATAAGTTTCTTATACATAAAATTGGGATTGTAGCTAAATATAGGCCGATTTGGCAAGAGGCAAATCATTACTAAACTATGGGCGGATCCGATCAAGCGAGGAAAAAAATTAGATGTATAATAATTGATCAGTTTGAATATTAGATAGATAGCCAATAATGATTGGTCAGTATCACCAAACAGCAGCCTTCATCTTCCTTAAATCTAAATCGTCGATAGAGCCGATAATCCCAACTCCCAAGTCTACGCTCAACCATGTACTCATCAAAGTAAATTGAAATCTGAAATGTAAGTACAAGGATCCGCCCTCGCGATTGAACTCCTTTGACAGTCGGAAAATAATTACAAAAAGAATTGCCTGACAAAAAGCAGCGGACGATCTCGCGACATCAGAGGCCGTCGGTCTCTGTATTCCTCCTCCTGGGCCACTCCTGCGCAAGGCATCATCCTCAGAGGTCTGGTGGATGATGATGCGCCACATCGCCTGCACTGGGTCCTCCTAACATCTAACGGCCGTCGCCACCACCAGACCCCTTCTGAATTGGAGTCGCGCCTAGTTTCTGGTCGCCACCACCCTTCGGCTGAATCGTACCCTGAAGTTGATGCCTCGTAAGTTTGCTTGCTCGTCCACGTCTTGTCCGACCAGGAGGTGTCGCTGTCGCAAGGAGTAACTGGTGCGCTACGGGTCGGTTTCGGTTCGTATAAAGTGTTCCTGTCTTCAGTGAGCGAGCCGCGTTTCTAGAATGAATAATGATAGTCTGATTTAAAAGCTGAAATAACGGCTTTTGGGACACTTTCAGTTGGTTTTTGTTTTTAATTAACCTGTGTTTGGTAAATTGTTGACAGTAGATACTTACTTCTTCGAATAAAATCAATATGATAAAATTAATAAATTGCTTTAGTAACTCAATCTACTCGTGCTATTTAAAATCTTTATTAGGGCTTGGAAGATAATCAAAATGGAATTTGAGTGTCCATTTTATTAACAACTGTCGAAAGTACTAATTAATAGACTTAGGCTGAGTTGCACCAACTAACTTTAACCGTAACAATAACGATACATTAACCGGCGCTTTTTGTATGGAGTTTGACAGATTTTTGACGTTTGTTAAAGTCAAAGTAAGATGGTGCAACCCAGCCATAGACTGCATCCAATATTGACCGATGATTTCTTAATGAACCTATAAATAATAAATCAATATTGTGTGACGCGGTGAAATGAACTCTGCACCTGTCAAGGGCATCAGTCAATCAAACACAGACTTTATACCATCGATATTCAATTCAAGATCAGCAAAGGGATAGGAGTTAGATCAATTTTAAGTTTTCTTGCACTGTTTATTTCCAGCGCTTTCCTACTAACTGTCACAGAGCATTGGTAAGGTTAAATTTAGAGAAAGCGCAGCGTGCGACGTCAACCCACAAGGTGGACCGACGACCTCATAGGTAAAGACGCTGGATGCAGGCCGTTACCAACCTGTCAATATGGAAATCATTTGGGGAGGCCAATGTTATGTATATCCTGTGGCTCAAATCAAAATGATGATGATGATAATTATGCTGACCATTACCTTCAGTATGTCGAAGTGAGGCAGCTTGAAGCGTCACACCTCCTGCAAGAACTTCACCGGACACACACCCTGGCGGTTGTCGCCGGAGCGGATCATCACCATGCCGTCCACCTCATCACCGACCTGGATCACGATTTGGTCGCGGAGCAGCATCAATCCGTTGTCACCATCTGACACCTGAAATGAGAATTTGCGACCATGAACTCAATAGTAGGTATACAGATTAATGAGAACATGTATGACAGAAAAGGCAAACTAGGAATTGTGAACTGCTGAAGACTTTGCTAAAGGGTTAGGAAAGGGTTAACATTTTTTTTTAAAAAGAGCCTGTCATCAAAGACAATCATTTTGTAGCATCGCAGTGACGAGTTTTCGCTATGACGTGCATCGTAGTAGCATCGCATTAGAGTGCCTGTGCATCGCCGCTCGCGGTAAAGTAGTTAACACCATTCGGAACACACATTAACAAAAACAATTGACGATATGCAAACCCCTAGTCAAAATGATTTAAAATTGTTATTAACTACATATTAAAATAGGTATTTATTTTTAGTTGTTAACTTATGTATTTAATTAAAATTACCTGCAAATTATGGGTGACTTGCAACGGGCGTTCGCCAGCTTGGAGTTTAGTGCAGTACTTGGATGGGAAGTATCCGATCTTGCCCAGGCATTTGCCCTTCCACCAGTCGGGGTCTGAGGTGTCGATGACGGTGACCTTGTACCCTGCCTTCAGATCGAGCTCGTCGGCGTGGCGAGACTTGAAGTTGTACAGGATCACGTACAGATTCGTGGGCAAGAGCCGTTGGTGCTTCTGAAAAATATTATTAAAAAAAGTTTTCAAATGTTTATTATGTTCAGGTAAGAGCTACGCTGCAGACTGCAATAGTTGTTGACTGAAGTTTGGAACTCTTTTAATAGAAATACCTATCAGTGGGGGAGGGACAACACTCAACAGTGTCTGATACATTCTGTGCCTAAATCCTCTTACATACCTACAGGTCTTTCACTATACTAACTTTCTTGTTTAGGTATTTAAATTAATCCTTGTTTAACAACTTTCAAGCTTGTTGCTTTCACTATTTCAAATACTTTAACCGCCACTATTTGCTTATGATTGCTTGGCTTTGAAAAACTAACTTGAATTGAAGTCTCTAGGATTGTAATTGCTGGTACAATTGAATATTAGTTTGCTCGAGAGTTTTATAATTTCATCAAGTTTTAACTTAATATTGAATTCTTCAAACGAGAGCGACTTATGTTGGATCTTTGAGCTATGACTTTTTGTTTCCTTTGTACTAGATTAGGAAGCTACGAATTTTTCAATTTGATGTCGAGTTAAGTCCGAGGGAATACATGATAAATTAGGGGCAGATTTATATTTGATCAGTTAAAGTTACAAATTACACAATATTTTTCGGACAATTTCATGTTACCATCGTTGTAATAGTAAAGGAGAAAAAATACTTGGTTCCATTTTTGACTCTTTCTTTTTCATTACATTATGTGTCAATTTCATTGGCTTGGCAGATAAAATTGTAAGTATACTCACACTTGGCTGCTTCACAGGTGAAGGACAGGGGCTCGCGCTGTTAGACGACAGGCTCTTATCAGGCTCGTCTGGTAGCTCAACACTGCTCATGCGACCGCCCCGGGCGCTCAGCAGCCTCCTGCTATGCACCGGCGAAGATGGCGCTGCACATACCAACCGCCCTCAACCACTCGCCAGAACGTTCGAAACAATTGACAGTGCTAGTCAATCATTCCGAAACAGTCATTTGTTACACTCAACAACCGTGCGCACGACATACATTTGTGATAGTGTTACGAGAACATACAAATCACATCTCAAAGTTGAAAAGATGAATGAAATGAATTTTATTAGTTTAGTCTTTGCAGTTTAGTTAGGGATAGTTTGTTAGCTAAGGATCAGAATTGCTTTATGTTATTTAAGCTAATATTGAGGTTTACACAATTGGATAACTTTTGCTTGTTGAGAGTAGAGTCAAGTTTTGGAGAGAAAGACATTCTTGTTTTTCATTTCTTTCATCTTTAATGAATACAGAAAACATGTATACGAGTGCATCATTCATTTTTTTCTGTATTCGATAATGTTAAACACCAACAAGAGTTCATACAAGACTTTAGTAGTGTGTGTGTGCTCTGATTAGAAAAACAAGGCCATAAAACTTGAGTATCTTATTAGATTACAGCTACTTATCTAGTAGGTAAATACCGCAGACAAACATGCTGTATCGTGGAATCGATAGGCCCTTCATATAAGTGAACCTTGCGTACGTATCGTATCTCCAGTAATATAAACAACTCGTTAATAAAACCCCGAAAGCACTGTTATATTCTACGGCGATACAAAAATAATCTATTATTACAAGCATCATTATCGGCGGTATCGAATTCATTAATTTATATCAACGTACATGAACGGGTGTATTTATGAATCGTGTGGTTATTAACTCTATTTAAAGAACCATGCCTCATGCAAAGTGCTCTGCATTTACCTAGAAAGACAAGAAAACAAAAACATAAATGCATGCCACAAAAACACAAAAACAACGTAAAACATAAACAGGCTAACAACTCGGTTCAAAATAGGGATGAATTTGATAAAAATGGTAATAGCCAATGTGATTTTGGTGATAAAATCGACAAATGTAAGGACTTCAAAATTTTCAAGTTGTAAACCAGTTGTTTCATAGGACCTGCTTACTCACATACAACGTCAAGAAGGACACAAACCGAAAAAACAATATCAACAATAAAGTTTTAACGTGTCGCCATATAAATCTTCGAAAGCGGACCACAAAAGAGACTTAAAACGAAACACAACGAGTTAAACCTATTCTATAACACACAAGCTAAGCCAAGGGACGGATTGGAGGGTGAACATCGCTTGTGCTCACAACATTGCTCGACATAAATTTACCAGAGTCCAAAAAACCAAATGCGATGGAGATAATACTCTCATTAGTCCCTCAAATGAGAGTGATGCCAGAACCGAAGTTGAAGGGGCAGTTAAAAGGCGATTGTGTTTTTGACAAAAGACAATCAGCGATTCCGTTAGTGTGAAGCAGTGAATCTTCAACCATACCAACGCGTGCAGATCGCCATCGCCGGCGCAATCATAGGCCAATGACAGGTCGCGCGACCCATGACAGTCCGCGCGACCTGTCATTGGCCTATGATCGTGTCGGCGACGGTGATCTGCACGCGTCGGTGTGGTTGAAGTTTTAAACGAGAATTGGAGCAGTGATAAGCCAGAGGTTGTTTGGACCCGGTTGTGTTGTTACTGGCGATATTCGTACAGAGTACTCGGCTGCCCTGCGAGGGCGCTTGGTTGGCCGGGCGGCGCCGCAGTTCCCCGCACTCCGGCGAGTCCAGCGACAGGCTCTTCATCCTAAGGTTCAACTTTTGTCGTCTCGGTGAGTGCGGCGCTACAACATTCGATCATGAGCATCACTAACTTACCTGACGCAATTTGCAGCCCTAAGTGTTAATGAATCAAGTCTATGTGCATGAAAATGATTCCAATTACTTTAGGGCACACACTGAAAACGAAATTATATCACCAATCGTGTGAAATGATCTGATGATGCGACTGATTAGACTAGGTTGATAATTTCTTTTTCAGAACCAAATTAATTGATTATTAAATTAGATAACTTATGTACTTATTTGTATTCTCAAAATTCACACAAAATGTTTTAATGTTGTTGTGTATGTATAAAAAATATTATAATGTAAGTATATTCACACATGAAAACCTTATGCACGATAATAATTAAAATTAAGTACTAATAGAACGATTGCATGTAATTTGTTTAATTAATATTGTGAATAGGGCTTTCATTTTCAGTATCTTTGTACAAACTACAAACAGGCAAACCATTAATAAGAATAAAAATAAATCCAGTTAAAAGTGCTCAAGCGTTGCAAATAAAATTTATTAAAAAAAGATTGGAAAATATCATAAACACCTAAGAAGAATAGTGGAGGCAGATTTTACTGAGCTACTGAACCGTCTACAGCGTATGCTACAAGAGTGAAGGCTTTTGAATAATGTTGTTGTCAGTGACTACGTTTTAACAAGTCTATTTAAATCAGATGCAGCCCGTCATCAGCAGCGTTCGTTGGGTACACTAAAAGAAAGGTGACATTTATGAATGAGATATCATAACAAATTGTCCTCGATGCAATGAACATCTCAATAACATAACTTCTACGGGGATTCGATTAGATACGGTGTCTTTTGGTACCAGGTAAGGGACTGGTGCGGTCTGCCTGTCTCAACATTTGGGCACTCTTCGAGTTCTTCATCGACCCTGTGTGGACAAGTAAACAGGAACGAGTCTATTATTACTTTTATCACTTCTCTACTGAAGCCAGACGCGGGCGACCCTGTGGACTAAGTAAAGAAAACAAAACTGTGAGGCGGTTGAAGAAAGCGAAATGAAATAAAAGGTTAGTCTTTGAAAATAGCCTCGAAATACAATTTACGTGTTTTGTATGTGACGTATATGCTCGGCGTTAGTCAGGCTTTTCGGAAAGTTGTGAATCAATCGTGAGGAAAGCGAAGTACTGGAATTCGAGTTGTAAATGTGATTAGACTGGGAATACGGCTGCAAGTGAAAAAGGCGTTTATATTTCTTGTATAATTGTGTAGTTAATTGGTCGATCAAAAACATGCGCTCATTAAAACCGCATCAAGCCATGCACCACTTACGCCCAAACTTCTGACTGCTGAAAGGTCGCTTCCGTATAAAATTGAGAAAACTGTGCAACTCGAGGGTAAACCAGAAAAAAAGAAAGCTTATTTCGGACTTTTATTGTAACAGTAACAATATACATATCACAGTACGCGGGGCGCATCGGGGTGATTATAATATACACGTCTGAGAGGCGGCTGTCGACGACTAGCCGATACCGCGCTGAGTCAGTGCTCTGCCTACAAGGCGATAAGATTAATTGTTTCAATTCCCTGAGGTGGAGTGTTGCTAATCATTTTTTCTTCCGAACGCTGGCCGTGGACTTGAGAATTGATGGCGGAGGGTCACCGTTTTCGTTAACAAAACATAGGGGCTGCCCGAAAGGTCGCGTCGTCGTCATCTCCGACTCTGCAAAGACAACGAGGCAACAAAACAAAATAAATAAAAAACAAAATTAACACAAGTCATAACAAAAACATAAAATAAAAGGATAACATTCGATTGGGGATGAAACTTTGTAATGTTCGTCGAAGCCTATCACATGAGGTGACAAACCCTGTGAAAGGACAAAATCAAGCATCTAAGGTGTATTGGCCGAGCTTCGTCTAGTTAAGTCCTATGTCTAATCTAACACTGCAATCGCGAAATAAAAAATAATGGAAATAAAAATGTATACTGAACACACAACGAAAACGAGGCACCGAACCCAGGAAGAAGACGGGACAAACAAAGCTTTTTTAATTCACAGCCTGTGAGATTGAGTGGGCTTTGCGCTACGGCAGCCGTGGGCGCGTACTTTCCGGCAGCGAAATGGACCGGTGCTGCGGCGAGCCACGGCGTGACCGCGAGCCCCACATGGACAAACTCTTGACTCCGGCGAAGAGTCGCCGCCGCACTCCGCCGTCGGGCCGCGTCGCCCCCGCCCCGCCTATTGACAAGCACCGCTCAGTACCGACCGCACCCCGCCCCCGCCCTGCGCCCGCGACATTACCAAAGGCGTGCAAAACAACTCGACACTACTGAAAACGAGTGATCTGAGTGAAGCTGCCGCACGGCCGTCGCCGGCGCGCGGATGCTGACTCCCGCGCTCGTCCCACCGTGCATCCTGAAGCATTCTTCGCGCTCGTGAACGACAGTTCTTCTATTACTGGCAACGTTACAGGGTTGTGGAAAATTAAGGTATTAGCTTAGATTAGTTAAGGGACGAGCTGTCTACCAAAGACTTGTCGCGCCAATGGAATGTGTCAGTTGGGGCCGGTAGGGCGAGTGAGAGATCCGCAGCTGGCGACGGCCGGCGGCCTACGGCGCGACTCGAGCGGATAAGCGAGCGAGCTCGGGTGCGGCGCCACACCTGAGCTAGAGGAGACGGGCTGAGGCGCGACGGCCAGCCCGCCGGTCGGGCGCGCCGGCGAGCGCGGGGGCGGCGCCTCCTCCGGCGCCGACACGCGCACTACCGGACCCCCGCGCGATTCCCCGCCGCCCGGCTTCGCTATTTCGTTGGCCCGCTTCAGAACTTGGTAGGTCTGATCCACTTCCTCCTCTGAGCATCAAATGCGGTTAGGTAAACGCCACTATACTCGGGTCACATGGTACACGACTGTTATTATGTGCGCGAGTCAGGGTAAGGATGTGTTTGTTAGTTAGTGCCCCATTCCTGCGAGTCGATCTCGCGGGTCTGTGAAGAGTTAATGTTATCGAATGTTGGACTAATGAGGGTTCACTTCGGATTGACTAATACTGTACCCTCGTCATAGAAGTTATCGAAATCATCATCGAACTCGACCGATCCTTTGAAAGAGATCTTGGTGAGTCTCTGTCCCGGCAGCCAGCCGTCTTCGACCCCTGGACACGTGAAGTTAGCTTCTGAGTGTGTTCTTTTAGCTGTTGCTTGTCTATGCATAATGTGTGTCGTAGTAAATTATTCCTTGCAAACTAGTGAGAGAGCCGTGTTCATGTTTGTAATCAATGATGTAGATTTCACTGCGTGTCAGTTGGAAAAGCCAATTGTAAAATAAATGCTTAACAATTTAGCCTGCTGAACTGAGTAATACTATAACCTCTATTTATAAGTTACGTCTTATCAACTCTAAATATCTAATTTTGATAAACACAATTACCAAGAAGAAACTTACCACAACTTCTGTTGGCATGGTCTATCATCAAGTTTGTTAATTTGGATTAATAAGATCAGATAAAGACTTCTACAAAAGTTGTAAATATTGTATGGTTGTTAAGTTGGTATTAAGTTCACAATGTTGTTCAAGTTTTGTGGAAGACTTACTTTCATCATCGAAGGCGGTCTCCTGGACCCTGTGAGACTCAATTTCGGAGGTGCTCTTCTGCCTGCGGAGCAGCCGGGATTTGGTCTGGCATTTGCCGACTTGTGGCATGCAGTCTGTGTGCACATTCATCTTGCAGAGTCGACATCTAAGCCCTTGTCTGGTATGACCTGTGAGCCAAATAAGATACTAGTTAATAAAGAGCAATCATCACGCACGCTACTGTGGTACTCCGGGTCTATTGAATTTGAAATAAACTTAAATAATAAGCAAACTGCTCTCTTATTATGTAGGTAGAGACTGGATAAAAAAGGTCATGATGGCATTAAGTTTGCCGTTTGAACCATACATAATAATATTTTGTACGATAAAGTTTTGCTATGTAGGTAAGTAACTAAGTATTTAAAACGTAACATTTACTTCTTTTATCTTGAATAATATAGACTTGTAACATTTACTAAAAGTATTTTTGCTTAAATTAAGAATGTTGAAGCAAAATTAAGACTTTTCATTAATATGTAGAAACTAAAACAAAACTAGCAATCTTATCTAAAACTAAAACAATCTAATCCCGAACAAACTTTTCTACTTCACACAGTTTTTCTTCTCAGCCTTAATTATATTAATGAAATTATTAAGTTCGCGTCGAGTGTTTCGTGCGGCCGCATTGTCCCCTGACCCGAAACATTCGGAACCGTGGATTATCGGAATTCGGGGTTCAACGGCATGAGACNTTGAAATTCACCCAGACAAAGGTTTGTCGTGCGAATATGCCAACAGTCGGGGTTATATTTTGTCGACTACACAAAACCAATTTTTTCCACCAATAAGAACTTGACACAAAAAGCCCTGGAAACAATCCAAATTCCAGAGGCAGAAAGCGGTGAACCTAAGAAAACATTTGTACATATTGCTTATTGACACATTACTTGAACCCGTTGTTGAAGTTCTTCGCTTACAGGAAACAAAATAAAACCAAAGTAAAACTAATTTGAAACACGCCAGCGTTGTTTCAATACAATTTAATTTAATGGAAAATTCGCAGACTGGTAATGGAGAAATAGTAGCTGAATTGGCTCGACAAACGAGCGAATGCGAAGGCATTTTAGCCATTATACCTAGTTATTGTCATTCGATTTCAGCCGGCACGTACCAGGCACTGAGGTGGTAAACCCAGTTCTAGGGTTAGAAACCTTTTTGTTTTGTTCGCTTTTAAAGAAAATACAGCTAGCAAAAGTAGTCTCTATTTCGATTATTATAAGCACAAACTACTCTTCAGTAACAAGAAAATCCGATTGGATTGAAACATTGAAACAAAATGTAAACTTTGAAGGATCATCCACAGACTAGAGTTCAAAAATAGAGCTATTTTTTTTTAAGTTTACAAGTTGTAGTCGACAGCATATCAAACTAGGTAGGTAGGTATAGTTACGTTTACGTTTACTTTAGTAGAAACATCGCCCTTATTACCACCATATAAGATAGGTCATGTCATAATGTCTAGCTTGATGTGCTGTCGCTCATACTTTGTCTTACCTCTAAGCACTTGCGAACAAACATCGCACGGGGTAATTTTCTTGTAGGTGTACTCTTGGAAGTTATGTGCTTCCGAATCTCCTCCGCGCATGGCCTCCCTGGCCGCTCCATTTCTCCTAAAACCATACATTTATTTACACCTCTTCCAAGATTGTCTGTCATGCTTTGCTGATACAGCAATTTGTAGAAACCAGTTTAATCAAGTAATAGTTGTACGCAAATCATTAGCATAGTTGAACAATCAATTCCAAGCAGATTGCGTATGGTGTAGTAGGTCATTTATCACCATGTAGGTACTCTACGGACTGTCACAAGCAGGGTAATACATATCACAGATATTGATCGATGACATTCAAGGTCAGGGGAGGAACGTGGATCTATCTGCGGTGTTGCGGTAATCATCCCCCCAACTGGCACAACACCTAATGACCCCGCTGATAATGGTACAAAATTGCTCGAGCTTTAACAAAACAAAATTACTTATAATTTAATATTAATAGCTCTGATTTAAGTGGATACAGTAACCGACAGTAAAACGTAAACAACATCGATTCGGTCAATACTAACAGAGGCGTAACTAAGATTTGTTGCTTTCGATAGCGGGGTCTTCTTTTCGTAAACAAAGGTTTAATTAAGGCAACAACACTACACCTCCATGAGATTGTGGTGGGTAGGTATATGATCAGACGCCCGCAAGATGAAGATTATGATCATAGATAGAGCAAGCCACACTCTCTCGAGCTAGAGAACATCTTGACCTAGACGTAGACTAGGTATAGTCGGTATGGACGGTGAATAAAAAATTAAGTAGAAGGTAAACACGCGAGAACCAATAACGAATGAAACGTCCAGCTCCAGTCGTCCCTTAATAAAAAACTAATCAATTAATAAATTACGTTAGCCTAATTTATTTAAAGGTGTGGTGTGAGGACGCGGAAACATTTTCCTAGTTACGCCTGTGATAGTAAACCATGCTAGATACAGATAAGCGTTAAAGCATTTTGTAACCGAGATAGTAACTAAGCTCCTTTTAAATAGTTTGAGTAGTGCGTTGCTGTAGGAAAGGCTCTACAAAAAGCAGTGTAATACGTAGAGCAGTCTCCACACTGATTTTCAAACATGCTAAGGGTACTACATGGAAGTATGAGTAGAAGAGTTCGTCAAGAAGGAGGGTTCACATTTACCAAAGGCGTATACCTACAGGGCACAGTTACCTCATGGCCATTACCGTCGACACCGCGTGGTACATTTGATTTTTTCTTTATTGATGCAAGAAGAGAGAAACATCAAAATGAACATGACATGATGAGATCAGTGATCATTGTTTATCAAACAATGAATTTGCACGAACCTGTGATGGTCCTGCATCCAGTTTTTGATTCCAGTCAGTAAAGTTTGATATTCAAATTATTAATTAGTAATTGTTAGTTCTCTGAAATTCCCAAATTCTACTTCCATTTCTGAACAACTTATCATCCATCTGGTGACGAGCAGAAGTGGCAGAAGAAACAGTCTCCTTTTTCAGCTATTTGTCTATTGCAGGAAGAATATTTTGATGCACTCTACTCATACTTACCTACTACCAAAGTTTTTCTTTTCACAAGTAGGTATATTCATAATCTGATTTGAACTAATGCACAGACAGTTCAAAACAAAAGAATCTTAGAGAGTGATTCTCCAAATGTCAATTTACTGACTGGAATTAAAAACTAGAGCTTGTCTGTTGGTGTGACGCTGTTAATTGTATTTAACATTGCAAAGGTCATCACAGATTACTGATTAATAGGTGTAAGTAGTTCACAAATGTATGTCAATAATGGATTAATTAAGTATTATTGCTGGTGAATAACTTACACCTTAAAAGCAAAAACGAATTCTATTTTACATTAGAATGAGATTTGAACAAAAATTAAAAGCGTCGAATAATATTAAATGAAGAAATTTGAGTCAGTAATCATTTAGGGTTTATTTTAACTTTATTAATACAATTTAATAATGTGTTTATCTATACATTTGTCTATAATTTCAGAAAAGATCTGTTTAATGACTTAATTTGATTTCAAAGCCTTGAAGGTTACTAGAACGTCCTTTTGATTCGACTATTCACCCTATTTATAATCTGGAACTGTATTCATATTTCCAGAGATAAAAAAGTGTCAAATTATTACTTATGCGCCTTTCAGTCTCATTGAATTCTGAACAAGCACTGAATTTCCAACTACTGTGTGCATCTCGTTATCTGGAGTCTATTATTTACGAAGAGCGCTTCAGTTCTCGGATTTGAATACAGTTCTTGTATTATATTATTATGAAAGAAAGTTTCCTCCGGCTGCTTTAGGTCAAGAAGTTTTTGGCACGGACTTCACAATGTATCTTACTGAAAATTTTCGAAGCATTGTAACTAATGTAAAAGTGCCTACAATTTAAATGCATAAATCTTTTCAAGCATCTTTTAACAAGCTTTTTTTTAACAAGTGACAAGTTGTTTTTTTTAACTATTAGCTGAAAATACTTGGATAATTGCGTTATTTAGTAGGTGAGTGACGTGCCTAATCAAGCCAAATCATTATGTACCCAAAGAAGGTATTAAAACCTTACGCACCGACCTAACAAGATCAAACTGTCGCGAACCTAATATTAATTGTATGTTCACTTTAATAAGTAAGATTACCAATAGGACATACGCTGAAAGCCTTATTAGTGCAGGTATTTGCTCGTTAATCCCATTTGTCACCGTAATCTAAAGTCGCATAATGTTCTTATGTAATTACTAAGGTTGGAATATCTGGATGATTATTCCTGAATGTAATTGGAGATTGTTAAATGTAGCTCTGTTTTCTTCAAATAGGTTTAATTTATTCAATGATCTATTGAAGCAAACGTTAAATAAACTGAATGAATTTTTAATAGTTTCGTACCAAATATATTATGTCCACTGTCCTTTCCTGTTCCTTTACCTTCATTTCATATGGGATACCCTATCCTTTTATAGTTTAGCAGTGGTTTTTAAACTATTGTAGATAAATGTATTGATTGCTCAGTGGACATCCTCACGAAAGTTCTACAGATATCTTACAAAATGTCCAACAATAAAGACTATGTAATGCCTTTAATTTTATAGGTTTGTCAATACGGCGAAGGCGTAGTTGATGTTTTGAAAGCTGAGCGTTAGTTTTCTGTCCCAAGAGCATTGTAGATTTCTTTTAGATTTTCCTCTATCCTTTAATTCCTTGATAAATGTTTTTTCTTGAAATCTTTTAAGTAAACACGTGCGTCAAGACGATATCGTCTCAGTATACTTACTCGTGAATAAAATAAGCTTTAAAAGTTATCTCTAATCATAAAATTCTCGTGTCACAGTCTCACAGTGTTTGTAACAAAATTCCTCCACAATGGCTTGGACCGATTCTTGTGAAATTTTGTGTGTACCTACTATTCAGTTGGTCTGAGAATAGGACGCAAACTATTTTCCATACCCTTAGGTATAAAACAACTTCTGCTGGGTCAGCAGTAATACAAAATAAAAGTTACCTAATTTAAGTAGTGAGTGAAGTAGTGGTTCGCATCTATGAGGTTATTGCCTAAATGTATGAACCTATACCACCTTGTTCAATCAAGGGTAACAAGCGTTGTTACATGTAGGTATCACGAGTTGTTACATGTATCACAACGACTGGCTATACGATACGAAGCCTAACAATGAGTTAACCCCAAAGTGTAATCAGTCGTAAAAGCAATCAAAAAATATCTTGCCATTACAAATTCCGTTTTCGTAATTTGTAAGACTGATAATAAACAAGTTGATACCCAGTACTGCTTATTAAGACAACCTGATTTTTGTTTGAAATCGTTTCTAAGAAATGTTTTTCGACTTAAACATAATAAATAGCTGAATTCGAAATACAGGTAAGTTCTTAAACTCATTAGCATATTATAATACACAAGTTACCTACTTGTTACACATACATTAAGTAGATACAGGTAAGGCATCGTATTATTATGTAGAAATTCATCAGGCACGTTTATAACTTTCACCTAGTACCTAGTCCTTTAACTGATCGATACTACAGAAAAGGTCTACTTCAAAACACATACATAAGTCGAACAAAACAATGCTTAAGAGTAGGCGCACACCGTTGATTTTTAGTTGGCCGATAGTTGTGCCCGATTTCAAATTGTATGAAGAATCGGCCAAATCGAATCGGCTTAGTGTGCGCACTCCTATACATGCCCATATTGATCAACTACCCGACTAAACTATCGGCCGACGAAAAATCAACGGTGCAGCGGTGTGCGCCTACTCTTAAACTCCATCCAATTTAGATATCGCCCATATTCACAAACATTAATATGAGGTCTCACAGTGCGCGTGGACGCACAGGATGACACACCAACCAATCACAGAGCTCTATTCAACGCTATGGGTTCAATTTGCTGCTTCACTTAAGCAAGCATCGTTTGTGAATACGGGCGTACTTATGTCTTGTGATTTTTTATAGATTATTATTAAAATGCTAGAAGTTTTGAGCTTCATAATGTTCGTTAGATTGTAAAATATGTCGCATGCACGATCCCTGATAAAAGCTATCTGCCTACAGGTTAAATTGTTAACGAGAAAAGCAATTGAGTTAAATCTGACAGGTTTTAACGTTAAACTGGATATTTGGTGCAAATGCCCTCGCCGCGGCGGCGTTCTTCCGCTCCGTGGTTTATATGTCAAGGCCCACGCAAACACCGTGATGCCCGTTGCCAGGATGTAATGACGTTGCAGTGCAACAGTGTTGTCAATTAACGGTCGATATTTATGTATCACAATGGATAGAACTGCCCCATTTAAAAAAAAATGTGTTTCAAATTAGTTCTTAGAAACGACTGGCTCGAAACTATTCAGCTTGAAATCAATATTTCCTGAGATAAGCATAAAAAAAAACTTAGGTATTTACAGGATAAAAGCTTTTTCAGGAAACATTAAATAAAATTACCTCACAGATAATGGCCTAAACCTGATATCATTGGTAGTTCAATCAAGCTACGATTTAAAAGAAAACAAACAAATTACTGAAGGTATACGAAATTGCTTAAATCTCAGAGTTTCTTTGAGCATCAGATTACGGCCTATTATTTTTGCTCAGCGATTTTCTTTTTGGCAATAACTAATTCTAACATCAACTATCTTGTACAATACTTGGTTAATCCTACTTCAAAATGTTAAGTTACAAACGACAGCTGGCAAAAGTTTAAGTCGTATTTTATCTACATTTTGATGCGATGTCGTGCAAATACTCGTAGTAGGTATAATACAAAGTAACGTTTTAAAATGGCTTGCTGGCTGACTTTAATTTATTGTGTTGTTAACTTGCAACGACTTGGACTCGAATAAAAACATTGCTACTGAAATCGTGAGGTGAATGAATCGTTAAAGAATGTACGAGCACTTTTTATCGAGACAATAAATCAATGAAACATAACTTGTGAGAGATTAACATAAATAAATATCTCCAGCAAATAGTTCATAACATAATTGCAAATAGTTTATTTTGTGGCATTGTAGGAACCTACATAGGTACTTATTTTTTGGAGAATTTTAGGTTCAACGTTTTTTCAATCTATCAAGAAACATAAGATTTAAAACTTTATGCCTTTTCTATCAGCCAGCCTTATAAAAGTGTGACACTTATCTAAAAGCTGTCAAGGTTATTCAAGACAACTTTGTTGTTGTAAACACAGTACACACACAACATATAATATTCATCAGGAAAAAGGTTGCCGCGAAATAAGGTTAGCCTATAAAACGTGCTTCGGAAACTGCACAGCCGGCTTTAAACTTAGTTTCAGCTGGGAAAGTGCAGTCGACTTACCCTAAATACATACCTATGAAACTTAAGTTTATAAGTTTCAAAATACCGGGTGTAGTAAGGGAAGAGAAGACAACTCTATTTCTTTTTTGGAATTCAAATTTTCCTCTCTTTATTATTGACGATTTGCTTGTCTAATTGAATTTACTTTTGCATTCATCCGTTATAATATGTAGTTATTTAGGGTACCTAGTTACTTATACTTTTAAAATTCTCCACAAAGCAAATGTTGGTTATTAATAAAAAAACCCATCATCGCGAATTTAATTAGCACACCAAATCACTTTGGCACTACACGATGTGTTTCATAACGGTGAAACTGAATTGAAACGCAAACAGACAGTTCATATTCATGCAGTTACTTAACTGAAACTTTTATTTCTTTAGCAACCGGGCTTAAACTCAGACTTTTGAGTAACCTTCAAGCTTTGTTCGATTAGCGTCAAGTTCATTGTTGAGTCACACGTTTCCAGCGATAAATCACTACAATTCATTTCAATAATAGCTTTTGAATAAAGTTGCATTAATTGATGTGGAATGGATTAAAAGGTTGACTCTATTTCTTCATTGATAACGGTTGTTGTGGGGGTTGTACGATGTACGTACTTGTCTGGTGGGGCGGCGTGGGGTGGGGGGGCGCTGGGCGGTTTCAGGCTACGGAATGCCTTCAGCCACTTATTCTTCATGCTACCAGCAGATGATGACGAAAGCTTGCGATCAACTGCAGCACCGCTATCTGCTTTCGCTGCAAACAGCTCTCTCTGTGAAAGAAAAGAGATGGATTTCAGTTTNTTTCAGTTGCATTTATAGAGAATCATCTTAGACTATTCTGAAAAATTAGAATCCTGAAATACCTAAGTTCAAAAGAAAAAGTTCTATCACTGCCACGTCCATGACATTATCCAATAAGTATGTATTAGGTTGGCTTAAAGAGACATCAACAAAGTATAAATCTACCCTTGCTACGAAAGGAATTTGGGGTTCGATTCCAGAATCCAGCTCAAAATATTTCTGCAATCCACGTTACAGGAATTAAGACTCCGCATAAGGATTATCTCCATCCGAGTTATTCGCGTAAAATAAACAGATAAAAGAAAAAATGTGTTCTTAAAAATCGTTTATGTAAAATCTGACGTAGGTACGACTAACGCTACTGTCTTCGAAGAATCGTAATGTAATTAAATGAATATCATTCTTACGAGTGTAGAACCCAAAGCGAGTGTTCTATTCTACGAATACGTTGGGGAAGTCATCACTGTCGCATCTCGGATGTTTTATTCGCAATAAAGTCCGTCCGAATCTCTACATTGTACTAGAATTAATCAAATTAATTTGGAATTCTTATTTAACTGTGCTAATTAAACATTTTATCATCCTCGTTGAACTTTAACGTGATTTTGATTCCAAGTAAACTTGGCCAAAGTTATAAAAAAACAATCACCTTTTATTGAACGCTGTAGAAACAATTTATTAAACCCAAATTCAGGGTAGGAAAACGAATTAAGCAATGAGCAATAAAGTATTAGGTATTTATTGTATTATAAAGAAATGGGAAAATATCGACACGAAAGATACGAAAGGTGAAAGGTTTTCTTTCCTTACGTTATTTTATTATCTCCTACTTACTTGTTTTTTTATTTATTGGAGATTTGCTGCCAAGATTTATTGAGAAGAAATAAAAGGTTGACGTTGGTTAGCTCGTCTACAAATTAGTTTTGTTCTCGGCCTTCAACTAGTTACTAAGAAGGAACTTTACTAGAAAACAGTATCAGCCAAAAACATTTCAATCTATTAGGTACGTTGGGATTTATTTACCTTTATTCATTCAGCAAACAATGTATATCCATGCATATTAATTTGAGATAAACTAGAATATTTTTGTTTACGTTTGCCGCCAGTTGAAGTAAGCAAACATTTGTTCAATAGATGAGAATCGAATCAACTGTGAATAATAGGGGTTGGAATACTTAATACCGTGGCTTAGTACCTGACTAATAAAATTGTTATTAGACACACTTATGACGTTTTAGTGTCCGTGCCATTATCACGGACGACCTAACAAAGGTCGTAGTTACCTACTTAGGGTGTCACAAAATACTTGCAACTATGAATGATTTTATAGACAGTCTGAAAAACACTGAGATTTCAAGGAAACAGACGTTTGCCAAATGATTGACGATTAAAAAGAAGTTGAAGCTGGCTTTAAATGTAATTTCTCTATAATCCAACACAAAAGGTACAAAATCTACACTTCTGATAGAGATACCTAGCGCCTCTAGNGCCTCTATCATCTAAAATTACCATGAACAAATTATACGCCAATTACACTCTTATTGTAGAACGGGCACATTATTTAAATAAAAAACTGAAGATCCTAAAGCGATAATAGTGTGACAAGCGTAATCACCATGAAATTAGAGAGAAGAAGGGCTCGGGCCAAATTGCTTGATAAGGTGTGAAAATCTAAGAGCACCTTGTCACTCCTAATATAGTCAAAATCGTACTTAAGCGGTAGTGACAGCATAGAAATCGTTTAGTTCCATTCTAATTTGCAACTTAATTTAGCTGAGACATCCCTTACAATGTAGATTAATAACATTATTGTACAGATGCTGTACCTACTTGGAATGAGTCTGTCTGTAACAGTTGTGAACCCAAGTGTCCTAATTATTTTAATATTGAAACTGTATTAACTAGATATTTACATTTAATTGGTAAGTAAATTAAACAAAAACGGTCATTCATGAATGTTATTTTGTCTAAAACACGATAAATATAATCGAGAATTTGTACCCAGAATCTACGTAGACATAAATAATAATCTAATATTTTTAGTCAAATTCAAGTTTCATTATCGAAGAAATACGAAAACATTCTTTATATCGCTACTTAAGTATTCATTAGACGTATTATTTACAAGTGGGTAAATCATTATGTATAAAGCGAACAAAATGCTAACAAAAACATGAAAGACGATTTAAATATTCCGAACGACGTGTCTTCAAGATACATGATAGCGTCGCACGATTTTTCAAGCTTACCCTGAGCAAAGAGAAAATAAAATGATAAACTTATTTTATTCACATTATGGATGGAATGGAAGTTAACTTCGATAATATGCGTACTTAGTTATAAAAAAAACATGATTTAATTTTTCACACCTTAGAGCACTTCAACACTCAATTTTCAGCCAATAACCTAGGTAGGTACCTACTAAATTTTCAGCTAACCTACCTACTTAGATCCTTTTTAATTTTCTTTCAGCAAGTTAAAAGATGATGACGGCCTCTAAAGTAGGTAAACACTAATAAAGTGCTATTGCTACAAAAATGTAAAGCTTGATGTGCTATCGACTGTACCATAGCGTTTAGTATTGTTGATAAAATCAAATCGAGCCACAGATTACTTACCTAATAGCTAAATAATCAGAGCCCTGTCAGGGCAAATAATGGTTTCGTGTTGTTACTCGTGTGTTTTGGGTATTTCTAATCAATTATGAAGGTCGGCCAAGGTTTCGTTTCACGCAAATGAAACCAAGATAAATTACTAACCTGCGTAGAGACATCGGTGCTATGACTTTCGTAGAAAATTAGTACCAAAAGGTTTTTTACTAACGGCGGCAAATTAAGGTAAGCACTATGGCGTGGTGGGACGTCCACCCACAAGGTGGACCGACGATATCGTATTTAAAGGTAGCAGGAAGGCTCTGGACGCAGGCCACTACCAACCGGGTAATATGGAAAGCATTGGGGGAGGCTTAATTATATACAGCAGTGGACGTCTTATGGCTGAGATGATGATGATGATGATGACAATGGCATATTATTTTGTTTTTTTTTATTTTTTATTCTTTATTTGATTTGGGGCTTTTATCCATTTGGATATGTCAGCCCCATTGTATCTTCACTTACAAACAACATAATAATATTATACTTAACTTAGAAACAAGTCAAAATAGGTACTATTTAGGTAGATACTTACCTAAATTTATAAAAGGAGTCACTGTTCTGTTAAATTTATTAAATTGCAAAGTTTTCTAGCAGTCTCCGACCTTGGCTCTGATAGAATACTTTGCACCAATCCTACATCTTGGGTATTTAATCGAAGCTCTTGAAACAGTGATTCCCTTTATATTATTTTGTTGTAATAGCTGTTATTTTGCACAAAAAATGTAGAGTCTAATGTGCTATCGACTGTGGGTTACTATCACCGTGAAGTTCAAGGTTTGTTCAGTAATGATAAAATACTTTTATTACAAAATAAGTTTTGTTGCTCACATTATTTCAGGAGTCGATTTTTGTACTTTGAAATACCTACCTAAAAGCATAAACTTATGACTCTTCACACTTATAAACCTAACTAATTCACAGTTTTAATAAAGCCAGATTCAGAGTAAACTAAGTTAGTAGTAAGAATAATTGATACAAATCCTACTACTTTACATAAATCCTAAAGATCATTACTTATAGTCTTAAAGATAATGAATTTAAGAACACAGTTTAATATTTTTTATTTGCTTAAAGAAAATCGAAAGCTCGTCGGCAATAAGATAGATTAAAAATTATACTGCAGGCTATTCGGAGTAAAAAATCACAATCAAGGTTGATTTGGTCCATGATAATATTTATCTAACTACCATTATCATTATTATTGGTTACTTATTATTATCAGCCCAGTAGTAATAAGTAAGCAATACCTAATGATAATAACCACTTTGGTTACTATGCTTAAAATAGACACAAAAATAATAAAAGTAAGTAGTGTTTGAAGTCTCACAAAATATTGACCTTGCAGCAGTAAGGGCGGCCATTATGGTCAATCATTAGAAAGTTTTCAATGCTATTTATTAATGTTGTTGTCACATTTATTTTCTTTTGATATACAGTCAAAAGTACACCTAGTAGGTGCATGGTTAAGAAAAAAGAGAAAATAAATAATTAATGGAGTTGATTCCATATATCAGGCAGGATTCCATGTTTGAAATTAAATTTTTATGTTGTTTTGTTCTCAATTTGGATTGGTTACTTTATTTGTTTGCCGATAGGTGGCATCACATGTTCGAGTTTAGAATTTGTAGATCGCGGTGTCTTATGTCAGTTTGCAGTTTAGTGATTCAGGATGTAGAGTATACCGATATCGATCTTCTGAACTTAACAGACACAAGCACATACAGTAGTTCTCACATAGAATCTCGAATATAAAGAATATCGTTTCGCTGAGCCAGGCGCTTGGAGACTGTAAGATGCAAATTAAGTCATTTACATGCCTTTCGTTCGACAAACCTTTCGTAACTTTCGGGAAACTTCAAATTTTTATTTTCCCTATAAAGAGCTCTGAAGGTAGGCATCTCACGGTAAAAAATAATTTGGTTGTTATTGAAATAGCTTCCTAACTTCCGAGTAACGAAATTTAATCAACTCGGTAACGAAACCGTGAACTTGACAGTCCATGAATATAATTTTGTAAACAAAACAATCAAAGCCAGTGAACCATTCAAATAGTGGTTGCTAAATGGTTATAATAACGGCTGAATATCTGAATTTTAAGTACTTAATCGAAATAAAGTTGGGTTGTTTTCTGGTTTATATTCAAAACTCAAATTAGGTCAATATTATGAAACGTTGCTTGTCAGCAATATTAAGATCAGCTGTTAGAAAATTAGACTTTTGTTAAAACGACAAGACAGCAGTACCTACTTACTTTCATAGATTAATGTTGTACCTACCAGTGACAAAACCATATTATGAGGCATTTGTAGCAA